TTATACCAAAGAGTATCAAGGTGGGGTTATCTTGAGTTTCTTTCTCATCCCCTCTTCCCTCCCAGGGCTAAGTGGATGTTTACCAAACCACTCTTGCGTTCCTTCAAGGTTAGCTCTGTACTCCTCTACATCTTCTGTGGCATTTGCCGTCTCTGTTAGGATTCTTTACTTCTCCGCATCAAATGGTTAGGCATTTGGCTGGATATAAGACTGATTGTTTCTCATCTCTTTTTCTCTTTTCCCCCAGCCATCTGTCACATACAAGCACAATGCGCCATTCTCACAGTCACCTGCCCAAAGGAGTTTTTGAATGTTCAAAAATTCCTTGTGAATTTCAACAGGTTTTCTTGAACCCAATGTAATCAATGCTGCTTTTCAGCTGAAACTTGCAATCTTTTGGCCTGACATACAGTACCTTGGGCCCTTAGAAATAAAATGAGGAATGGGGGAGGGGACAGGATCAGAAGGCATACTTAAATTTGCACAATGGTCAAGGATGCCAGACTGAAAGGCACCAGATCATTGTGGTAGCTCCCTCCTCTGTTACAACAACCCAGTTTGTGCATGTCTCCTGCCAGTAGATGATGCTGATCAAGGGAAGGACAACAATAGAGGGAAGGGCAAGCGAGGAATGGCTCTGTTAGCTATTGGTCCACTGAAATAAAGGAAATCAAGACAAATTAATGATGACTAATCTAAATTCCATGTATTTAAATAGATCAGCTCTAAGCACAATCATATTTTATATAACCTGATGTATGTAGTTCCAGCTTTTCTCCCATCATGGAATAAAGTAGTTATGTTTAATATTGGACTAGGGCGTGGGACCGTAGAAACAGTTTTGTAAAGTGAATAAACAAAGCTATGTTTATTTACTTTATTTGCTTGTTTTATTGTGCTTATAAGCCGTTCCAATCATAAATAATTCTGTTGGATGTAGGGATCCAGGCAGAGCAAATGTTATCCATTTACTGCTGCTGCTGCTATTTCCTTGACTTGTGAGAATCTTCTTTTTTTCAAGTAACTTTATTAATTTTTAAGATAAAGAGATAAAAACTAACAAGAACTAATGATTAAGATAGAAAGTAGAGAAGAAGAAAAGCTAAAGAATGAAAAAGAAAACAAGGTTAAAAGTTCAGAAAGAAAAAGAAAGAAAAGTACAAAAGAAAAATGACTTCTGATTTTCTTTCACAACAGATATAAGTATAAATTTGCTTTAAGCTCTTACTTTAAGTTTACAATGTAACTTTCATTTTTTCTATTGTCTCCTATTATTTCTAATCATCAAGTCCATATATCATGATTTCATTTTTTTCTGTTTCATGCAAAAAGTCCAAAAGGGGTTTCCAATCAGCATTAAAATTAATCAGTGTCTTTTCTCTAATCAAAGCTGTCAATTTTACCATCTCAGCCAGCTCCATCAATTTTACCATCCATTCTTCCACTGTAGGTAAAGTCAAATCTTTCCACCGTTGTGCATATAAAAGTCTCGCTGCTGTCATCACATATAAAAACAAAGTTCTATGGAGTTTTTTCCAACTGTTTATCCATTAGTCCCAAAAGAAATGTCTCTGGTTTTGACTGTATATTAGTGATTAAGTTCTTCTGAATTAATATATGTATGTGAGCCCAAAATGTTTTAGTTTTTTTACACCAAATGTCCACCAAACATTTTTTAATTTATTTTTTAAAATTTTATTACAAAAAGAAGAAAAAAATACATAAAAGTGGTTTAACAAAAAAGTGAAAAAAATACAACAGAGGAAAAAGTGTTAATATATCATTATAACAATAAACAATTTCAATTCTATATATGCTTATCTAGTATATTTCTAGTAGATTTATATGATTATCATGGTTCTTTTTAACCTACTATATTTTGTATAAATGAGTCCCATATTTCATTATACTTGTCCATACAAAGTGTACGTCTATAGGCAATTTGCTCATAAGTGGCAAGCGCAATCAGGTCTTCAATCTACTGAATAAATGGGACCATACGTTTATCTTTCCAAAGCTGCAATGTCAGTCTTTTGGCCGTAGTAAGGGCACGTAGAATCCATGTACACTGTCCAGATGTCAAATTCCATGTACTAGGTATACAGTTCAAAAGAATATTATCCTCTGAAAATTTTAGCTTTTGTTGCACATGTTCACCAAACATGATAAAAAGTCTCCTCTTGTTCACATTTCCAACTTACATTTGAAGTACCTTTATACATTTTAGACAATTTTTCCAGTGACAAATACCAATAGTACATTATTTTATAAAAATTCTCTTGAAGATAACACAGTGTAAGTTTCAATCCTTTCATCCACATATTCTCCCATTGTTCCATTTGTATATTATACCCAAAGTTTTTAGCCCATTTTATCATACATTCTTTCACTTGTTCGTCTTCTGTTTCAAATTTCAATAAAAGTTTATACATTTTAGCAATAACATGTTCATCATTTGTCCATAATTCTATTTCAGATTCAGTCTTACCATATTCAAAACCAAAAGTCCTTTTATCTATTTTAAATATTTCTAATAATTGTACACAGGAAAACCATTGATATATATATACTTCTGATATCAAATCCTCTCTTGATATATATTACTGTAATATATCACTGTAAGTTAACCATTTATGCTTAGTTATCATTTTTATTCTATAATATGCTTCTTGTGGTGGCAGTCATAAAGGTATTTTTGGACACAACCTAGATTTATATCTATTCCATATTCTCAGTGTGGCATGTCTAATAAAATGATTTTTAAAATCTATATTAACCTTAGCTTTATCATACCATAAATATCTGTGCCACCCAAATCTCAAATCATACGCTTCTAATTCCAATAATCTTCTGTTTCTCAACATCATCCAATCTTTCATCCAAACTAAACAACAAGCTGCAAAGTACAATTTCTTGACTGGTGAAAATCTGATGAAAAATTAGTGCTCCCTGTCCCCTCCGGCAGATTTATGAAAGCGCTTGGTTTCATGAGAGGACAACAATGGCTGGGAATATGCTGTAAGGTGACTGAATGAAAAAGCAGATGACGTGAGTTTTGAGTCAGCAGAAGTGATGCCTCACGGGCAGACTGATTGGGAGCACTTTGGACAAGGCTCTGTCCCCAAGCTGCAGATGTAAACTGTTTTAATCTTAGAAAGGGCTGTGCAGATGATAAGAAACTCAGAAACTGTCAAGGTCAAAGTCTAGGACAAAGAATGTTAATGTGTCTGTAGGGATTGCTAAAAAGCCCTAGCCATCCCAACATGTGGAAAGCCAGGCCAGACATGCGTTGCCACATTATCAAAGCAATCTACAAGAATGCAGCGGAAAGGCTTTAGCTACACATGTCATGGAGGAGGATATTAGTGGAAGGCAGAATGTTCTGCTTTTCCTTTTTAGCGTATTAGAAAGCTCTTTATGTATCCAAACCAATCTATTTAGATGTACCCCATTTTTCTTTCTAGTAGGAATTGTTTGTGTCTGCAGCTTCAGCATCTCATTTCACAGGGTTTCCCCTCCTTCCAGACACATTTTTCCTTCAGGATTTCAAAATCTAGTATACGAGCTTGACTGTTCTCTATTCCTCCTCCCCTTGATATCATGAATTCAAGGATAACATGAGCACTTTTTCTAAGATTCCACTTACCTTTATTTCTTCAACCAATTTCTTCCTGTTGTAAGAATTGGGCGCATGATAGCAGATCCTACTGTTCCTTCTTCTACCTTCTGTAAAATCAAATCAGCAAGAGGACAAACATTTATTGGATCTCCAACTCTTGGCCGAATTAGATTTGCAACTTTTGTCAAGATAGTTAACTATCCCATTCTTGTGAAACGTCCATGTTGCTCAAGTATTCTGATTGATGCCAGCAAAGAATTTTGATAGTTCCAGTTAGAATAGATTGTGCCATTTGGTAGATTAATAAAAGTAATACATTTCTAGCATCATAAGCTACTCTAAAGGGAAATATCTGCAGTCTTAAAACAAATGGATGGCCCGTAGTCTCGTTCTGTGGCCTTACTAAGAACGACCATGACCCGAGATTGTGTACAGTCCTATCAACCATTAGATCTGCTTAAAACCTGCTGTTGTGGGAATTGTCCTTTGCAGTCCCTCTCTGTCACTAATGCTCCAGATTGCCTTTCATCGTAACTGCAGATGTTCTGAATACATTTACCTGCTCATAGGCCTAGGGGATTCCCCCAGCATCTCCCTTTTGGGAGGGGAAATATTTTGTTGTTTTCAATCCAAACCTCAGGGAGAGTAAGCATGAGGGTGAGAAGTGAGAAACATGGGATAAAAGGGAGGTGGGGGTGGGGACAGAGGAAAAGATTCTCTCTGCAGCTTCTGCTTAAAGGTTGCAAATCTGCAAGGATCTGGGACATGACAGCTTAGATTGCTGTAATGCATTCTACATACAGGTTTTCTTGAATATAAAGAGGACTTGTGATTTGAAACACGACATTGGTTTTGAACAACACCCTAGGTTAAAATATGGTGGGGTACTTTGAGTTCAGTGGGTTGTGTGAATGAATCTAGAGTTCTTGGTGAATTCAGGGAAGCATGGTTCAGTAAACCACGGGTAACCATGTTGCGCAAACACACCACTTAGAAGTAATAAATAGCCCGCTACAAAGGATTCGGTTGCTCAGAATGGTAACTAAACGCCCTAAACCTGAGCAGACTAAAAAAACTACATAACCCAAGATGCATCCTTCCACAAAAGCGACTCATCGGCGCGACGCATGATGGGCAGAGAAGACCTTTCTCCTCCGCGTTCCTCTGTCCGTGACGTCATACCCCACTCCCTCGCCGGCCGCTATAGCGATTGCACCACGCAGTTTCGCTCGGCCTGAAGCAACTTTCTCTTCCGTCTTCTCCGGAGTTCCGGCTGGTACTTGGAAAGACCAATGCGCGTTTTGGATCCGCGCGTTTCCCGCCAATAGGAGGGCCGGGAGGGCGGTATTTCTGGAGTAGCCATCGAGCGCTGAGCCGAGTATTGGAGTCCGGCAGCGGCCCCCGCGCGGCGGGGGGAGGAGGCGTGCTTGATTTTTAAAGGGCCAGTAGCGGAAGAAAGTTGCGGGGAGAGTTTCCTGAGGGGGCGCTTCTTCGGGCTTCCTGATCCGTCCTCGTCCGGCCCCTTCAGGGTGGCAGCAACGCACCGCGCCTTGGTGGGGCCGACCGTCTGGGGAGCCTCGGCCGCAGAATGGAGCAGGCAGCGCCTAAAAGGTAACGGTTAGGGCCTCCCTCGTTCCCGGGAGACTGAGGCGGCGGCGAGGTTTATTTTGGGCGGAAGGGGAGAGGCCGGTGTAGGCCGCGTGCCCCGCAGTTTGCCGCTCCGGAGTGCCTGCCCCGCACCCTGGCCTCCCCGTCGCCGGGGAGGCCTCCCGGGCTGGGGTGTCACTGGCGCTGCCCCATCTTTGGCTCACCCTGTGCGCTTTCTCTGTGCGTGCATGTAGGTGCGAGAGGGGAGGCTCATCCCTCCCGTTTCTGGATAGCGCAGAAGGGCGGCTTTGTCCCAGCCTTCCTCAGCGTAGTGCCTCCCACAGGCTGGCTAGAGGGGATGGGAGTTGTAGTCCAATACGATTGGGGGGCATCCCTTGGAAAGGCTGCCTTAATCCATGCGCGTAGAGAAATCCTCAGTGCACCTCCCCTGAAGAGACACTGGTCCTTCTTGATCCCATACGTGTTTTTAAATACACCCGTACAACTCCTGGGTTCATGTCCTTGTTCTCTGGCTCTCTACAGCTCTCCCATACAGAGCAATTTGTGCCTGCAAACAATCACGTGGATGTGTGAGGCTTGCTGCCTGCTTTCCTAGAGAAATAATGTGATCTACTCACTTGTCATTCCTTAATCATTCACTTCTTGGTATGGCAGTATGATGACTGATTATGTGCCATCAAGTTGTTTTTGACTCCTAGCGACCGCATAGGTAGATTTTCTCCACGACAATCTATCCCTAACCTGGCCTTTCAAGTCTCCCAATGGTGCACTCATCACCACTGTAACTGAGTCTGTCTACCTTGCTGCTGGTTGTCCTCTTCTTCTCTTTCCTTCTACCTTTCCTAGCATTAGAGCCTTTTCCAGAGAGCTGGATCTTCTCATAATGTGTCCAAAGTAAGATAATTTGAGCCTGTTCATTTGTGCCTCGAGTGACAATTCTGGGTTGATGGCAGATGATATGATATGAAAGCTTCAACATCTTGTTAATGTGTCCTTGGTGTGTACTATTGCTTAAGCCCACACAGAAATAAAGACCTCCCACATAGCCCCATCTGTGGTCCTGGTAGTAATGGGGCAGAAATTAATCTCTCACGAAAATATGCGTGCATACCGCCCACCTAAGACCTCCCTGCTGGTGTCTCCCTGGGGCAGTGAATATGTCCCTATTGGTTTTCTTGTCAATGACCGCCAGAGACATTTGACTCTCTGTCTTCATGAAAGAGTATGAAAATGGAGGCTTGGGAAATCTTTGCGTGTTGGCATTACCACAGTGGGTTTTGAAAGTATGTGCTTGAAATGGACAGTGGTGGAAGACTGTGGCTCATTTTTATACTGTGTTTTTGTTCAAATTAAATTGTTACATTATATTTACATAGGCAGTAGATGAGAAGCTCAGTCATGAAATACTAAACTTTTGAATAATGGAAACATACTTTTTAAAACAGCATTTCCAAAATATTTTCAGAGAAAACAAAGGTACTTTAAGTTATCTTTATTGTAATATTAATATAATATTGTCATCTCCTTGAAAGAAGTAGGTCAGTGATTGGTGGTACATGTACTGCAGGTGGGATTCAGAAGTAATCCAGGTGGGACATGGGGTAAGTCATTAAAACTTTAAGTTTTTATCATAAACAACTAACATTAACGCCTATAAACATACAGTGGGGCAAAAAAGTATTTAGTCAGCCACCAATTGTGCAGGTTCTCCCACTT